GCCGAGGTTCACCCGGGCCGCTCGGGCCTGCAGCGTGCGGGGCTGCGCCCTCCAGCTGCCGCCGTGCCGCGGCCTGCGGGTGCCTGCCCCCCGCGGGAGGGTGGTACATTCGGACTGCCATCGGTGAGTAGAAAGCTGAATGCTCTTGCTATGAGGCCTGCCTCGAGCAGGAAGCGTGTCTGATTTCTTTCCAAAGAGAGATAAAAACTTTAGGACCGACTGCTGAGCAGTTACAAACGCTATTAATACAGATAAGCATTGCCAGCCTTGGCTGCTCTCTCCATAGGACGTCTGGTGCTGGGGCTCAGGGAAGCTCTATGCGTGTACATTAAAAGCTGAATGCTCTTGCTATGAGGCCTGCCTCGAGCAGGAAGCGTGTCTGATTTCTTTCCAAAGAGAGATAAAAACTTTAGGACCGACTGCTGAGCAGTTACAAACGCTATTAATACAGATAAGCATTGCCAGCCTTGGCTGCTCTCTCCATAGGACGTCTGGTGCTGGGGCTCAGGGAAGCTCTATGCGTGTACATTATGTACCCGCCGTATGGCTCCACCAAGTTTTGTGATCCAATGGATTTACCATGGGAGACAGGACAGGAACAGAAATATGTAGGCACGAATTGTGCAGGGAATTAAATTATTTACAGGCAATTATTCATCTGGATTTTAATATCGCCTGGGATGTGCTTTCAGTTTTCCTTTCAAGAACTGTCATTCTCCAGAGCAGCAGTTTCTAAGCTGAACCTCATTTACTATGAGTGTGCTGGAGCTCTGCAGGCTTCACTGCTGTTGGAAAAATACATGTATGCGCTGCTGAGCATATTAAATGAAATAATAATATGCTAGATGTGTAGGTTACTCATGTGATTTGTTCTTATCTAGCTGTGTTGGTATAGCACACTAGTTACAGTATTCTGCTGTCAGCAGTGCTCTATATACAAAAGCAGATAGTGATCTGCTTTTAGTGGCTATCAGTGCATTTTTGTGCAGGGAGAACAGGGCATCTGGCCTCTGCTGAGTCTGGGCTGGCAGGAAGCCATGTGGGGAGTGATCTCTCCCCGGCATTGCTCCAGGCACATCCATATCCTGCATAACTCCAGGGAGCTCAGCATGTGCTGGACTGACTGCCTGAGCAATGGGGATACATGCACTGGTGTGTTTAATTTGACCTTAAGCTCTGCAGGAATTAGTGGGGCTACCCAGAAGTATGCCTCTAGGAGGGCACGTTAAGCAATAGCTCAGCCTGCTCCCTGTGTTACATTCCCAAATGAAACCCGCACCCTCAGATGCAGCCGATGAATGCTGCCAGGGTTACAGGTATCCCAGGGTCAGGCTGCACTCCAGCCTGTGCACACACATTCGTAGGCACACAAGCTTTTTCCCAGGCGGCAAGTTAAGCTTCAATTTAATTTACTTAAGTAATCCCAGGGGAACAGAGAGAAAGTTTGGCAGATGGTCAGAGAGCGTGCTCTGAATGCTTTTCTTTAAATATTAGCAATCTTCTTGATTATCTCAGCACTAACACTGTAACATCATTTCTATTTCGGTTACTCCTTTTTTGGCTGCTAGACTTGCCAGGTAGCACAGAGGTTGTGTGTTTCTCCCGTCGTGTTTGTGATGCCGTGGGAGATTATTGGTCTGCATTAGGTATTTATTAACATTTTCCGTCTTGCTTTGTAGCCCCTGCTCGTGGTGAACGTTGCTGTGAGCATTGCGTGCGTGGGTAGGTTTGGAGAGAGTGGAAGGCTGCCAGGGCGTGCGATTAGGCCCCAACCTGTTTATACTAGATGCCATGTAACCCATAAAAAAGGTGAGGAGTTTAGTTAAAGTTCCCATCAATTTTAGCTTGAGGAAAAGCTTGAACAAGGGCGCTTTCAACTCAGCAAGTGAGTGTCTTAAGGGAAAAGCGAGTGTGGGTGCATGAGTACCCCTTTGCAATCTTTGCTGCGTGTGTCCACCGCCTCCCATGAGGAAATGAACTGCCATAGTCTAATTCAGCCTAAGAGCCAGCCCAACGGAAGCACCTGTGAAAGGAAATTAAAAAGCTGCTTCCTGCTGTCAGCAGCACGCAGGAAAACCCCATTTCCCTGGTTTTCCATCACCCCCCTCCACCTCCTGCAGCCCCGCGGCGCCCAATACAGAGGGGGCACCTCGGGGCTGCCCCTTCCTCTCACAGGGGAAAAGC